GCAAGGATGGAAGTGATGAAATCAACTGCCCTTCTTGGACCTGCACACCAGACCGGTTCAGATGTGAAGATGGGAACTGCATCCATGGGAGTAGGCAGTGCCATGGTGTGAGAGACTGTCTGGATGGCACTGATGAAGCAACTTGTAACAGTGTTATTCAGTGCTCTGGACCTGGCAAATTCAGGTGCAGAAGTGGAGAATGTATAGATGGCAATAAAGTGTGTAAGCAGCAGAGAGACTGCAAGGACTGGAGTGATGAGCCACTCAAGAAGCGTGGCATAAATGAATGTCTGGTGCGTGCCAGTGATGGGTGGAATTGGTTAAATAACCTTTTTAATGGCTGGCGATTGTCTGGTTGGGTTTTATCATCGATTAAGACTGGATTGTTGCTATTGGTGGTTGTTGTTGTTGTGTTACTGATGTTGCCACGTTTGCTGTCCCTGCTGCAAAGCGCGCTGCAAAAGGCGACACAGGCAATTTTTGTAGCACAAATACAAAAAGGGGGGATTGTGGGGGACCTCAGCTGGCCTGAGGCCCTTGGACAGAGTGACTTTGACCTCGAGAAGATGCCAGTCTGCCCTTGAGAGAATAAACAGGAACAAGAAGAGCCGCAAGGTAAACAAGTCTGTCGAGAGTGCTGACAGCAGACTGAGGGGTATGTGTTCCTTTGGCGAAGTGCTGAGTTGTGATGAACTGTGAAAATACTATCCACTAAAAAAGAAACATCATAACTTTGAACCAGTGAGAAGAAGGCACATCTGGGGAAAGAGAGTATAAATAGCTGAAGAAGAAAAACAATAAAGGCTTTTTGTGCTACGCCAACACTTGTCGCTTTGTCCGTCCCTGCTGCAACAAATATTGAGAGTAAAATTAGGAATATATTATCTGTTTAATACAGAGTCAATGTTTAGAATGATTATGGGAATACCAAGGCTCTGAGACAAGCGAGCAGCACTTTGTGGCTGCATTTAAGAGTAGGTTCTTTTTAAGGGAAAGTACCTTTCTGAACTGGGAAGAAATGGTCAGATTTTCAGGTCAGATTTTCAAAGCTGTTTAGCCACAGTGCACACATGCCCATGCACGTGAAGCTGGCTTTCTGGACGATGCTTTATAAGTCTTCTGGGGAAAATGGCCTGCAACTGAGGACAAGGAGCTGATTATATTTGCACGTGTGCTTTGCCGCCTCCTGCTCGCAAAAGGAGTTGCTGTGCGTGCAGTCCAGCACCCCATTTCCACAGAGCACTGTGGTGGTCTCTCCTGTGTGCCCTGCTGTATGCCTGCACAGATTTGGCCTTGCTTCTGCACAGGATCCCTGGATGCATGGGTGCACAGGCATGGCTGAGAGCCCCTCACAAAAAGCAGCTACCAAAGACCCAGTCTGCAACTGGGAGAGCAAAATCTGCAGCCTGGGATTACTGCTGTGCTGGGTGGTCTACGGACTGCGTGCATTTGAGGACTTTGGTCTGAATTGCTTTTGAGAGCAAGTCTGGGCTTGTGTGCCGGTATTGCACTTAGGAAAACAGCTCCCCAGGAGACCAAACCCCACTGGAAACCTGCCGGCCTCACATGCAGTGTCCTGCTGTGTCTTTTGCAAACTGAGAAGCCTGAATGCAGACTGAGCTTTAGGGGCTTGCAGGGCACAGAGGCTGGCTGCTCACTGCTAAGGCAAAACAGATTATTGCCAAGTCTCTAAAAGGGCCTGCTGTGCTTGGCCTCCTCCCCCTGAGAGGTTGAGGGGTGTACCCAAGCCTTGTAGGTAGGTTTACTCCAAGGGAAGGTGGTGCCGAGGAAGGGCCACGCCGGCCACTGCCG